GTGGAGTCTTGACCACCACACCACTGGGAAAGTCTTTGGATTTGATTGATCTACTAGAGCAGCTCACAGAAATCAGAGAAACATTTTACTTTTGGGAAACACTTTGGATTTGACTGATCTGCTAGAGCAGCTCACAGAAATCAGAGAAACATTTTACTTACTAGATTTAAGTTTACCCTATAAAGTTTAAGTAAGTTTATCCAGTTTATCCTAAAAGCTCAGGAACAGCCGGATGGAAGAGATACACAGGGACCAGCATGAGGGAGCGGCGCTGGGAAGTCCAAGCTCTATCCAGGTGTGCCTCTCTCTCCAAACCTCTGAGTTTTCATCAACCCGGAAGTGCTCCAAACCTTGTCCTTTAACGGAGGTTTCATTATCAATCATCAGCAGTTGTTTCAAGTTCCAGCTCTATTCCGCTCCCGGAGGTGGGACGGAAAGCTCAAATCTGCCAATCACTTGGATGGTTCCCCTGGCAACCAGCCCCCATCCCTAAGAGAGGTCCGCAGTCACCTAACTAACATAACAATAAACCCATTTATCACCCTCAGTCCTTAGGAAATTCGAAGGATTTTAGGAGCTCTCTGCCAGAAATGGGGACGAAGACCAAATATACGTTTCTTATTATAAATCATAATATCACAGCACGTTTTAAAAAACTCTTCCAGAGTTTCTAGCAAAGGCACTGCAGACTTCCATGGTTGGGATGGGTAAGATGGGTGGACACAAGACAGGTGTTTGCAGTTCCTGCTCTAGTGTCAGACAACATGTGTTCAAATCCAGACTCTAATGAGCTGAATAACACTGGGCTAGTCCCTTCGTGTCTCCAGCCTCAGTCTGCTCATCTGTAAAACGGGGATAAGAGCAATTGTCCCACGATGTTGCTGTGGGAATAAAATCATTTGATTCATGCAAAGCAGCAAGCACAGAGCAAAGATCCAACACGTGTTTCTGTTTAAGTTTGTGTTGTAGGAGAGAGTTGCAATGGTGAGATCCGCATACTTGTTTACAGATGGGAAAACTGAAGCCTAGACAGGGAAAGTTGCCCCTAATCACACAGCAGGTTAGCAGATGAAACAAGACTAGCTCTGGTGTCAAATTGGCAACAAATTCAGATGCTAATTCAGCCGAGCCTAAAACTCGATGCTGGTGCTGAAAACACTACCCTTTGAAATGCACAGGAGGTGCATGCAGTTCCTAGTTTTACCACTAGGTGACGTCCTTACCCTATCTATGACCAAACTAGTCAGGAAATGGACAAAAATTTTAAGTACAAGAGTAGAGAATTTCCTACTTCTTCCTTGTGCGTGCCTGCTAAGTCGCTTCAGTCATGTCCAACTCTGTGCGACCCTATGGACTTCCAGCCTTCCTTCCAGGCTCCTTTGTCCATGGGATTCTCCAAGCAAGAATACTGGAGTGGGTTGCTGTGCCTTCCTCAGGGGAATCTTTCTGACCCAGGTACCGAACCCACATCTCTTCAGTCTCCTGCATTGGCAGGTGGGTTCTTTACCACTAGCGTCACCTGGGAAGCCCACCTCTTCCCTGCTGCTGCTAAGTCGCTTCAGTCGTGTCCGACTCTGTGCGACCCCAGAGACGGCAGCCCACCACGCTCCGCCGTCCCTGGGATTCTCCAGGCAAGAACACTGAAGTGGGTTGCCATTTTCTTCTCCGATGCATGAAAGTGAAAAGTGAAAGTGAAGTCGCTCAGTCCTGTCCGACTCTTAGCGACCCCATGGACCGCAGCCCACCAGGCTCCTCCATCCATGGGATTTTCCAGGCAAGGGTACTGGAGTGGGGTGCCGTTGCCTTCTCCGCACCTCTTCCCTAGGATCCAGCAAAAATATTTAACAAAGGACTTTATATACTGCAGGCACTTAATATATAACTGAGTCAAAAAATAATGTTCAGATCTATTATCTACAGAATTGACTCCTGTGCTGGTTAAGAATGTAGATTTTTGAACATCTGAGTTCAAATTCCAACTCCCTATTTATCAGCTTTCGAATCTTTTCTTCGTAGTTTCCTTAGTTTCTTCCTCTGTAAAATGACAATGATAATATTAACTACCTCAGAGGGTTAAATAAGTTAACAGGAGTGAAACAAGTTTTTTAAAAAATGCCTCATACATTTGAGCGGTATATGGGTGTTAACAATTTTTAGTTTATTTCTCACACAGCGTTATTGAGGGATGCTGATAGACAACAGACTGCATGTATTTAAAGCATACAGTTGATAAGTTTTGACTTATATATACTGTCTGGAGAAGGAAATGGCAACATACTCCAGCATTCTTGCCTGGAGATTTCCATGGACAGAGAAGCCTGGAGGGTTATAGTCCACGGGGTCTCAAAGGGTCGGACACAAACTTATCGACTAAGCCACCACCACCATACTGCACCTGTGAAACCATCACCACAGTCAAGATACTGAACTGTCAACTGAAAAATTCAGTCACAACCTGAAGGTAGAGAGATGTTTTATTTGGTGGGAATCCTTAGGCCTTCAAGCCCCAGAGGCAGCATCTCAAGTGGCCCCGAGCAAACTGCTCCAAGGAGCTGGAGGAAGGAGTCAGGTTATATAGAAGTTTGCAACAATGGGCAGGTGGTCTGAATGTCAAAGATGATTGTTGATTAAGGAAAACCAGATATCTCAAGTTAAGGCATTTAGTGCTCGTCTATATATGGGAAGACGCAAGCATCTGGGCTCACTGAAATCATTCCATTCATATGCGTCTCAGTTATCTGGGGCTGGTATATCTTGCTTCTTGACTTTATTACATCCTTGGTTTCCATAGGGGCTCCCCTGGTGGCTCAGATGGTAAAGAGCCTGCCTGCAATGTGAGAGACCCGGATTTGATCCCTGGGTTGGGAAGATGCCCTGGAGAAGGAAATGGCAACCCACTCCAGTGTTCTTGCCTGGAGAATTCTATGGACGGAGGAGCCTGGTGGGCTGTGGTCCATAGGGTTGCAAAGAGTCGGACATGACTGAGCAACTAACACACTTTCAGGGCTCAGAAATTCTCATTTGGTGGTCCCCAAATCGCTGATGGCTGTGACATCCTTGTTTATTGATATAGCAGGAGATAGTCTATTTCACAGAACACACATAGTTCAGTTCAATTCCTCAGTCGTGTCCACCTCTTTGCAACCCCATGGACTATAGCACACCAGGCTTCGCTATCCATCACCAACTCCTGGAGCTTACTCAAACTCATGTCCATTGAGTCAGTGATGCCATCCAAACATCTCATCCTCTGTCATCCCCTTCTCCTCCCACCTTCAATCTTTCTCGGCATCAGGGTCTTTTCCAATGAGTCAGTTCTTTGCATCAGGTGGCCAAAGCATTGGATTTTCAGCTTCAGCATCAGTCCTTGCAATGAATATTCAGCACTAACTTCCTTTAGGATGGACTGGTTGGATCTCCTTGCAGTCCAAGGGACTCTCAAGAGTCTTCTCCAACACCACAGTTCAAAAGCATTAATTCTTCGGCGTTCATCTTTCTTTATAGTCCAACTCTCACATCCATACATGACTCCTGGAAAAACCATAGCTTTGACTAGATGGACCTTTCTTGGCAAAGTAATGCCACTGCTTTTTAATATGCTATCTAAGTTGGTCATAGCTTTTCTTCTAAGGAGCAAGCGTCTTTTAATTTCATGGCTACAGTCACCATCTGCAGTGATTTTGGAGCCCAGGAAAATAAAGTCTCTCACTGTTTCTATTGTTTCCTCATCTATTTGCCATGAAGTGATGGGACCAGATGCCATGATCTTAGTTTTCTGAATGTTGAGCTTTAAGCCAACTTTTTCACTCTCTTTCACTTTCATCAAGAGGCTCTTAGTTCTTCTTTGCTTTCTGCCCTAAGGGTGGTGTCATATACATATCCAAGGTTATTGATATTTCTCCTGGCAATCTTGATTCCAGCTTGTGCTTCATCCAACCCAGCATTTCTCACGATGTACTCTGCATATAAGTTAAATAAGCAGGGTGACAATATACAGCCTTGACGTACTCCTTTCCTGATCTGGAACCAGTCTGTTGTTCCATGTCCAGTTCCAACTGTTGCTTCCTGACCTGCATACAGGTTTCTCAGGAGGCAGGTAAGGTGGTCTGGTATTCCCATCTCTTTAAGAATTTTCCACAGTTATCATTCCCCCCAAATTTCCTTATGGCCTTTTGCAAACCTCTCCATGATCCAATACCATCCCCCCTCCAATCACTAATCTCCATCGATTAATGTGGATTTTCTAGAATTTTCTATCAGTGGAATCATATAGTGTGTGCTCCGTTTCCTCTGCCTTCTTCCTTTTTCTAATTTTTATCTATTTCCTTATTTTTGGCTGCCCTGGGTCTTCACTGCTGCACACGGACTTTTCTCTGGTTGCGGTGAGGGGGTGTTACTCTCTGGTTGGGGTGCGCTGGCTTCTCATTGCGGTGGCTTCTCTTGTTGCGGAGCGCAGGCTCTAGAGTGAGTGGGCTCAGCAGCCGTGGTGCACGTTTTTTTTTTAATTGGCACCAACCCAGTAGTATAATGAGTTCTCCTGCTCAGCACATGTCCTCTGCACTAGGAGCTTGGAAAAATGTTAAGCTTAACCTGATGCCCACCTTGGATAGTCAGCTCAATTATACCCTTAAAAACACCTAGGGGTGAGCAGTGTTACTTTCTAGAATACCTTCCAAATAATCTGTTTTGAAATGAACGTACATCCAAAGCAACAGAATGCCTCTGGTTGCTCTAAAGTATATAAACGCTCAGGGACTTCGGAGGCCGGTTAGAGAAGCTGGCCTCTGGGCCCCCTTCTGATAGTTAGTTGCCCGAGGCGTGTGGGATCTTCCCGGACCGGGGATCGAACCCGTGTGCCCTGCACTGGCAGGTGGATTCTTAACCCCTGAACCACCAGGGAAGCCCGTGACTTCTTTCAGCGTGTTTCTTTCGGGTTCATTCAGGTTGTTGAGTGGGTGAAATTCATTTCTTCTGGCTGGCGTTGGGTGATTACAGCACAGTTAATCCACGTACCTGTGGATGGACATGTGGGTTGCTTCCAGCTGGGGGATGTAACAGATGAAGCTGCGGTGAGTCTGTTGTATGAGTCTCCATAGTGAGGCACACCTTCGTTTCTCTGGGCTAAACACCCAGGAGTGGGATGGGAGGAAACTGCCAAAGTGGTCTTCAGAGACATTGTCCATCCCTACCTGCAGGGTCTGAGGGTTATAGTTGCCCCATATTCTCGCCCACAACGAGGGTAACCAGGCTTTCGGGTTTTGACATTCTAATAGGTGTGTGGTGGTATCTTTGTTTTTGTTTATTTGCCTTTTCAGTCGCTCAGTCCTGTCCAACTCCTTGTGACCCCATGGACTGCGGCATGCCAGGCCTCCCTGTCCCTCACCATTTCTTGGAGTTTCCCCAAGTTCATGTCCATTGAGTCGGTGATGCCATCCAACCATCTCATCCTCTGTCATCCTCTTCTCCTTCTGCCGTCAGTCTTTCCCAGCATCAGGGTTTATGTTTAGTTGTTTACTGTGGTTTTAATTAGCATTTCCCTAGTGAGAAATTATGTTACCATCTTTTCTGGTGTTCACTTGCTGTCAGCATTATCTTCTCTGCCAAAATGTTCAGATTTTAAGCTCATTAAAAATTTTTTTCGGCTGCTTAAGTATTGAGTTTTGAGAACACTGTATATATTCTGGATACGTGTTCCTTGTCAGTTATAGGTTTGCCTAAGTTCTCTCCTAGTCTGTGGCTTGAGAATGGAAATTCTCTTATGAATGTCTTCTGAAGAGCTGTTGTTAATTTTGATGAGGTCATGGTGGGGGGGGGAGTGTCCTCATGACAGGATTGATGTCTTTTTGAGAGGAGACACTTAGCTTGCTACCTCTCCACACAGGAAAGACCTTGTGGGGACACAGTGAGTGAGAAGGCGGCTGCCTGTAAGTCGGTTAGAGAAACGATGCCAGAACCAGACCATGCTGGCGCCCTGATCTCAGACTTCCTGAACCGTGAGAAATACATTTCTGGTGTTTATAGCATCGTGTGTTGCTCTGTGGTATTCTGTTCGGCAGCCTCTGTTGACCAAGTGAAAGTGAAAAGTGTTAGTTGTGTCTAACTCTTTGCGACCCCATGGACTGTAGCCCACCAGGTTCCTCTGTCCATGGGATTCTCCAGACAAGAATACTGGAGTGGGTTGCCATTTCCTTCTCCAGGGGAATCTTCCCAATCCAGGGATCGAACCTGGGACTCTCCCGAATTGCAGGCAGATTCTTTACCATCTGAGCCAGCAGGGAAGCCTATTGACTAAAACATACCTTTAAATCTCATCCTGTGCATTTTTCATCTCAGACACTGTAGTTTTCATCTCTAGAAGTTCAATTCAGGTTTTAATTTTTGTTTTTTAAATAGCTTCCATGTCTCCACTTAATGTGCCAACTTTTTCTCTGGCTTCTTGAACACATAGAATGCAGTTATAATAGCTTTGAAAATGTCCTTGTCTACTAATTCTGTTATCCATGTCATTTCTGGTTTGGGTTTAACTGATTGATTCTCCCCTGTCCCCCTTGTGGATCCTAGTTCCCTACCTCTTTTCATGCCTGGTAATTTTTTTGTTTTTTTTAATTGCAGCAGCCTCCAACCTTTCTGGGACCAGGGTTTTGTGGAAGACGTTTTTTCCATGGACTGGAGTGGGGGTGAGGAAGGTTTCAGGATGATTCAAGCACATTGCATTTATTGTACATTTTATTTCTATTATTGTTACATCAGCTCCATCTTAGATCATCAGGCATGAGATCCTGGAGGTTGGGAACCCCTGTTTTATTAGCTATTGTGAATTTTACCTTATTTTGTGCTGAAAATTTCTTGTATTTTACATACGTTCTTCATCTTTTTTTTTTTTTCTTCACAGGGGTCCTGCTTTTAAACTGTTAGGCAGGACCAGAGTGGTATTGAGTCTGGGGCTTGTTTTTTGGTGGCTAAGTTGTGCCTGACTCTTTGCGACCCCATGGACTGCAGCATGCCAGGCTTCCCTGTCCTTCACTATCTCCTGGAGTTTGCTCAAACTCACTGGGCTTCCCTGGTGCTTCAGATGGTAAAGAATCCACCTGCAATGCAGGAAACCTGGGTTTGATCCCTGGGTTGGGAAGATCCCCTGGAGGAGAGCATGACAACCCACTCCAGTATTCTTGCCTGGAGAATCCCCATGGACAGAGGAGCCTAGCAGGCTATAGTCTATGGGGTCACAAAGAGTCAGACATGACTGAGAGACTAAGCACATGTCCATCAAGTCGGTGATGCCATCCAACCATCTCATCCTCTGTCGTCCCCTTCTCCTCCTGCCCTCAATCTTTCCCAGCATCAGGGTCTTTTCCAGTGAGTTGGCTCTTTGCATCAGGTGCCCAAAGTATTGGAGCTTCAGCTGCAATATCAGTCCTTCCAATGAATATTCAGGGTTTATTTCCTTTAGGATTGACTGGTTTGATCTCCTTGCTGTCCTAGGGACATTCGAGAGTCTTCTGCAACGCCATAGTTCAAAAGCAACAGTTCTTCGGCACTCAGCCTTCTTTGTGGTTCAACCTCTCACATCCACACATGACTACTGGAAAAACTATAGCTTGGACTATCTGGACCTTTTTCGGCAAAGTGAGTCTGAGGCTAATTTTACCCTAGTCCTGAGGCAAAACCCTCTGGCTATTTGACCTGATGTCACACAGATCTACTGAGTGTGGTGTGATGGGGAATGATTCCCAGCCTGGGTCGGGGGGGGTGGGGCTCTGGGGATGACTCCCTCTGATGCTCTTGGGTGGTCCTTCCCCAGCCCGGGGTCATTTCCTCACAGGTGTGCACTGATCTTGCTCACCTGGAGACCTGGGGACTGTCTTTCTGGGCAGCGTCCTCCTCTTCGGAGCTCTGCCCTTCAGAATCCACACACCCTGGCGTCCCACCTCCCTGTTCCCTTAACTTGAGACTTCTCCCCTTACCTGGAGACGTTCTCCCTCCCTGCACTAGGGCCTGGAAACTCCCCGTCCCCGCAGTGAGCTTCGACGGTCGGGGGGTACTCACCTTATTCGTTTCCCATCAGAGAGGACTGTCCTTCATGCCTGATGTCCGGTGTCTTGAAAATCATTGTTCCATATATTCTGGGTGTTTTTTTGAGTAGTTTCAGATGGGAGGGTACAGTCAATCTCCGTTATCCAATCTTAGCCAGAAGCTGATGCCCTACTAGGTCACATATATGAATATATTATACTGTTTATGCATTGGGGGCTTCCCTGAAGGCTCATATGGTAGAGAACCTGCCTAACATGCAGGAGACCCAGGTTTGATCCCTGGACGGGGAAGATCCCCCTGGAGAAGGGAATGGCTACCCACTCCAGTATTCTTGCCTGGAGAATGCATATATTATATAGATACTAAAATAAAATTACAATGATCCTTGAACAACATAGGTTTAACTGCACTTGTCCAGTTATATCTGGATTGGTTTTCAATGCTAAATATTACAGCACTACACAATCTACAGTTGGTTAAATCCAAGGATATGGAATGGTGGATAATGAGGGCTGACTATAAATTATACTTGGGTTTCAGGTGTGTTGAGAGCTGGCACCTCTAACCCCCCTACACTGTTCCAGGGTCGACCCTGTATGTATACCAGTTTGGAAGGTTTAATCAAAAAACCCCTAAATTTTCCCCATGTGTGTTCATTCCAGTCCCGTCCGTGCCCAAGATGATCATTCGGACTCCTGTGTATCTTTCCAGAAATGTTTGTCGTTATGCAATTATCTAAACATCTGCTTGTGTGTGCCTGCTCAGTCACGTCTGACTCTTTGCGTCCCCATGGACTATAGCCGGCCAGGTTCCTCTGTCCATGGGATTCTCCAGGCACAGAACACTGGTGTGGCTTGCTGTGCCCTCCTCCAGGGGATCTTCCTGACGCAGGTATCGAACCCATGGCTCCTGCGTCTCCTGCATTGCAGGCGGGTTCGTTACCCACTGAGCCACCTGGGAAACCCATATATCTGCTTAAGAGGTACCCTATTGTATGCAATGTTCTATATCTTGCTTTCTTCACTTATATCTTAAAAATCTTTTCCTATCAGCAAATACAAGCCTCACCTTTCTTTCTTTTTTTTTTTTAATGCTGCAGAGTTCTCCATAAAATAGGTGTTTTATATTTCATTCAGCCATCCTGTACCAAAGGCCATTTGTTTTTTTCCCCTGTTAGAATTAATGTGGCAGTGAGTGCATATAGGCATATGTTTTAGCACACATGCATGTGTGTGTCTGCAGGGAGATTTCCAGAAAGACTGCCAGGTCGTTGGACATCAGCCAGGACCAGTGCACTAAGCACCGAAAAGATACCTTCTGAAATTCAAAGTGGGAAAAAAAAAAAACAATCCAAAAAGACTACATTGTAAAATATAAATCTCATTTTTGAACGATACAAACTGACAAAGATGCTGAATTGAAAGCAGCTTCTTCCTGGATTTCTTTTTCTCTCTTTCCTGTGTTTGCCCTTATCATGCAGGTTTTCTAAGCACTGCTTGGAGCCACTGCCTGTGAGATTTGGCTTCAGGGAAGGACAAGTGGCAGATTCTACCTACCTGCAGGGGGCGCCCAAGGAATGCTTGCTGACTTGCTGCGTTGATTTGCTCTCTGCCGAAAGTTCTATGGCTGGACAGTACTCCTCCAGCCATCACCTAAGACAATCTCCAGGCCTTCTGTAGGCAGATGGGTTTCACGTGAACTTCACAGAGGCGGCACTGTCCCTTCACGGCCTGTGGAAGTCAGGCAGGCACCTCAATATGGTAGCTGTAGAGAGAGATGGAAATAAAATAGAGTCAGTGGGATGCTGGCCGGGAGGGAGGTTCCTGATGCGCTGGAGGCTCGGGCACACCACTCAGGTAGTGAGTCAGGTCTCCTGTCCCGCATACTCCAGCCTCTCCTAGTTCACCTCCCCCAGATGATTCAGAAAGTGAATGAGCTTTCCATCAGCCTGAAAGAGATTGAAAAAAAAAAGTTTTAGTGGTGGATGTGAAATCTCTGGGTAAAGAAATCTAGTGGTAAAGAACCTGCCTGTCAGTGCAGGTAGATGTAAGAGACTCGGGTCCGATCCCTGTGTTGCGAAGATCCCCTGGAGGAGGGAATGGCAACCCACTCCAGTACTGTTGCCTGGAGAATCCCATGGACAGAGGAGTCTGGCGGGCTGCAGTCCATGGGGTTGCAAAGAGTTGGACACGACTGAAGTGGCTTAGTATGCATGCAGAAGGGATCTCTAAGCAGTGGTTTATCTAATGTATTTGACACCCAGAGTAGACAGTGATTTTTAACACCTTTCTCCTCTACACAACTGTATTCCCAATAATAATTATATTCCTGGTTAACGTCTTGGTTTTGCTACAGTTGAAAGATATAAAGATTACATTTCTTTTTTTTTTTTTTTTTTTTTTGGCTGCGGGGCATGTGGGAT